CAATGAAAATTGCAGCATTTGCTATTTTACTTGGCCTACAGCACCAGTTACAGACCAAAACAAAAGAATAAATTTAAATCATTTTAAGTTAATATACTGTTGTTTTTTCTATTACAAATTATGGAGGAACTTTGAGCAAAGAATCTTTATTTTGAATTAATTATAATTATTTTTGCAGGAAGGAAAATGTGTTGTCCTGTGATTATACATTTTGGTGATTTATTTCTGGATAAATTACAGTATTTTGTTTCCCAGCCTCTCAGCACCCTTTAACTGTTTTTCTTTTGTTGCTCAGAGTGAGGCCTGTTCAGCCAAATTCATTCCAGCTCACTTCAGATCAACATCAAAACTATGCATGCAGAAGAGGGAGATACCAGCAGGCTTTGGAGAACCTCAAAAGCTGCAGAAGTACAAAAGGATCTTCAGAAAAATATGGGGCAAGGGCAAAATCTTCAGTCCGGTGAAAACTGAGCATGCTCATTGGTTATCAAGAGAGGGGATCCAGAATTCGGGGTTAGTCAGAAAAGGAATGACTCTTCCCTTGTCTTCTAGAAATTGTCCACACTCCAATTATTTAATGCAGGCCTTACTCATTTTGCATTCCTGTTTCAATAGTTTCTAGCACAAGAGTTCTACCAGAGAGGGACCAAAGAGATTTACAGTACAGTAGAGTTCAAGGTTTCACTACTGCTCTGTGAAACTCACTTGTGCCATTCATTCTCTCTCTAAACCTGATCCACCTCAAAAGATTGTTGTAAAAATTAGTGCAGGGAGGAGATGTATGTAGCCTTGGGCTTTGTGAACAGAAATGTAATGAAGTGGCTTAGTAACTGCCATGCACAATACAGTATATCGATTTATTTGTTTGATTGTTTCTATCATATCACTCTGCCAGACCTGGGAGAAGACAGGGGGAGCATTCCTCAAAGTGATTTTGTTTTTAAATTTCTGGACTATTCCCCTCTCATTATTTGTTTATTCATTGGTTTTCTGTGAAGTTTATTATACAACATTAGTTAATATTTGTACCCATTCTTCTGTTCACAGAACACTAAGAAATTAGCATCCATTTCAGAAGGACACAATGGAGTTAAAATAAAGCTTGTAGCAATTAATAACAATAACCAATCAAAAGCAATAAAATCCAAAACCAGACATTCAAATAAAAATAAAAATTTAAAAGCAGCAAAAGCACACATTAAAATTCTGTCACCCTTAAAAGGATTTCAACTTTTTTTCCCGAAAGAAACAGCAAAGACAGAATCACTTAAACCTCAGACTAGCCTCTTCAAACACTAGAGATAACTTAATTGTGTTTTCTGTTGGTACAGCTTTGGCCACTGAGCAGCTACTGTATATCACTTCTTGGATTGATTACTCATTAATAGCCCAGAATATTTGGCAGGTGACAAGCTTGGGTGGTAAGGGGTCAGGAGAAAACTTAAGAGTCCTATAAGGAAAAGCTGAAATTGCTAATTATGCTCATCCTGAAGAAAATTAAAGGGAATCATAATAGAAGTCTTCAAACATCTCAAGAACCTTGTTCCTTGTTTGTGAACTAACAAATGAGAAGAACTACCAAATTCTCAAGATGAGCACATTCAGAGAATCTTACCGATGCAACCATCTTGGATTTTGGACACATATGTACAAAGGAATTCAAAATACCAGTTATCATGCCACCCTATTCTGCCAAACAAGCTAAGCTGGGAAATCAAGGGGATTTGGAAGAATGGTTGGGTGGGGATACTGAAACTATAACAATTCAAGCCAGAGTTCAATTAAGCAAAATTCCACTGAAATCCCTATTATAGTATGTTTTAAAATATAGAAATATTGTGGATATTATACCAATTGTTTAATTAGTTACAGTAGCATAGCTAATCAATCTTCAATTAATTGATGACTATAACATATAGATTTTCCCTATGTATTCCATTTAAAAAAGAGAGGGGAATATTGCCATTTAAGTCCTTATGTTAAAGAGGCAGGTCCTGTATACTGCTGTTGGTGTGCTGTTCAAAGTTTCTGGATGAAAGAATTTCCATAAAAGTACGTTCTACCCATTTTCATCTCATAATTGGCACTGTCTTTGTCTATTTGAATAAAAAGGCACCAGTAAGAACCACAGGCTTTCAGAAGGTGGCAGAATTCAGAAGAAGACCTTCAGCTTTGCTGAATAATGGCTGTAATAAAAAGGTTGTGAAGAAGGAAAAACACAGTCTCCACCTTTCATTGCTATCAACAAAATAACATGGAAACCTGTCATCAACCATAACTATACAGTAGCCACAGCTACTATATAATCCTCACTTACTCCATCAGCAAATAAGGTGAAGCAGGAGCAAAGAGACACAGCTGCTAATAGTGTCATGTCACCAATTACATTATATTATACTTTTCCCAAAAGAGAGTCCAAAGAGACACAGGATTAAATCCTGTTGCATGGCTCCACATGCACAACACTGATGTTGTGCAAATTACTTCTGATTAAAGGTTTCCTTTGGGAATTTGAGAGGCCCACAATGTTGTTGTATTGTGTATGAATCATGTGCAACCCCAAATTGCCTTTAATCATAATCAATTTGCCTTTAATCAGCACTGATTTGCCTTTGCTGATCACAACATCAGTGATGTGCACGTGAAGCCGCACGAGAGGATTTAGTCATTGTGGGGCAAAAACTCCATGTTATCCATAGAGTATCCTACCTATAATGTCTACTATTTGTGCATATATTAAATACACTAGCAGTGGCATATTATTAAAGATAATGATGATTAATTCACCAATCTTAGAAATGCAAAGCAAAGCATGCTGCTTATATACCACCCCATAGCGCTTCAAGCACTCTCTGGGCGGTTTACAAGTTAATTATGCAGGCTACACATTGCCTCCCCAGCAAGCTGGATACTCATTTTACCGACCTTGGAAGGATAGAAGGCTGAGTCAACCTTGAGCCGGCTACTTGGGATTGAACCCCAGGCCGTGAGCACAGTTTTGGCTGCAATACAGCAGGTTTAACCACTCAATTCCATCCCTGTCAGAAAGGCACACTGGGGAGTCAAACTCCTAGTCTATGGCTCTGCAACCAGATGCCTAAACCACTGAGCTATCCAGCATTTCAAAATGTGTTTTTCAAATTTCTATGGGAGATGGAGATGTCTCTTACACAATGGCCAACTTTGAAACAGAGAGGTTTTGAGGCTCACACTTACTTAGAAAGGAGACACTTTGACAACTGTCACTCCATTCCAGATGTTTGGAATTGAGCTGGGGTTATTCTATGGTGATGATGAAGGGAAGAATAAGAGACTGGAAGAGATGGTAATCTCTGTACACCAAATGAACTTCTTAATATTTTACGTGTTCCAAAATTCTGTCCTGAGATGGAAGAGCTACTGGATCTGATCTACGATTAGCTTTGTTGCCCTAGCAAAAGAATGAGGTGGTGGGATCCATCCATCCATCCATCCATCCATCCATCCATCCATCCATCCATCCATCCCTCCCTCCCTCCCTCCCTCCATCCCTCCCTCCATCCATTCAGCCAGCCAGCCAGCCAGCCATTCAATTTATATACCATCCATCTAGCAAATAGCTACTCTGGGCAGTGTACAACAAAAATATATATAAAACATAAATTATAGAATTACTATAAACACTAGACAATATGACGAATAAACAAACAAGAAGGCAGATGGCAACAACCATTTCAAATCATACACTATGATATTCCTCTCCTCCTTCATCCATTGTCCCCACTACTTGAGGAGAACCTTCCCAAAATCTCCTCTGAACAGCTCAGTTTTCAAGAGCCTTTTGAATGTACGAAGGGACGGTGCCTGCCCCACAAAGGAGACGCCACTGCTGAGAAAGCCCAGTTTCTAGTTGCTGTTTTCTGGGTTTCTCAAGGGGTCAATAGTGGTAGGCGTGACGTCTGTGAGGATCAAGTCAGATGCGCAGCTGGACTTGGCAAAAGACATTCAGACAAGTAACTAGGTCCCAAACCATTTAGGGCCTTGTATGTTGGAACCAAAACAAACCTGGTACAGAAGCAGACTGGTAACCAGTGCAGGTGGACTAGAGCTGAAGTGATGTGGTCCATTTTCCTGAACCCAATGACAAATCTGGTCGCCACATTCTGGACCTCCAGAAAATTCCACATCAGCTTCAAAGGAAGCCCCATGTAAAGTGCATTACGGTAGTCCATCAGATCAGACTAATTAGCCACAATCATTTTCTACACAGATTGCCCTGTATGCACTTCAGTTGGTCCTACCCATTTAGCTATCTCTTGGCTCACACAAACACAGGAGATATATAAGACAAGAACTCTGGCAGACGGCCAGTTCGCATTTCTACCAGGGCAGGATGTGTTAAAAAGCCCTTTGTCTGGATCTCTACTCAAACGCAGTCACGATCCATAATCATTACTTATTTTAAAAACCAAGTGCTGATTCTCTTCCACCAATGTAATAGGAAACAAAAGAAGCAAACATTAGTTCCATAGGATCTAGTCAGAAAGGCTGTACCGGAATGAGAAATTCTATCCACTAATAATAAGTAATGGTATTTACTGTTACATAACATACCGTTAGAACGCATTAAAAATGTTCCAAACCAGCTCCTATTCAAACACCCTGTAATTTCGTGGTAGGCTCTTCCCAACACTATTGTGCCTATATGACGGTAATTAGACTCTTTAAACACAGCTATTACCAGCTTCTTCTGCTCCCTTCTAATAAGGCCTATAAACACCAACCAGATTCATTTCTGTTGTCTGCCTCCTTCAGTAATTCCCTTTCAAGGCACAATAGAAAGCAAATGGAGTTTAAAGAAAAGCCTAGTGGTTGAAGATCGGTGCAAACACTTTTGTAAATATTGGAAGCATGGTTTGATCCACGCCCCAATATTTTACTGGGAGATATCTTTTAAAACAGCTAATTAAAAAAAAATCAAATCAGACAGCCTTTCAGAATAGAATTAAAGTATTCATTACCTTTCTGCTTCTAGGCGCATCTCCTCTCGTTTCTGCCTTCTGAGTTCTCTGCGACGTTCAAAGTCGTCCATGGTGTATTTTCAAGACTGGATAAACCCTCCCAAGTCAGACTGATGTTTAAAACAACAGAAAGAGAGAGGAAAATATGTCAGTACTAGACACGGAGATTAAAGTATGCCTTTAATTAGTTGGACCAAATCAAACTGTTGCTTCCCTTCTAAAAATCAGTTCCAAAATCAGTTCCTCTTTGTATTCCCTCCATAATAAACCAGATTCTTTCAGAGCCACTGGGGCTAACAATCATCTTATTCTTATAGCTAGAATAAGAGATAATAATAAGATAAGATGATATAGCTATAATATCTTACATCTTTTATCTATATATTATTATGCACCTCATGACATGTATGCAACCCATTTTGGAATTCCAGTCTCAAATTAAAATAAAAACAGACTGCAGAAAATTTAGGAGCACAATGCATAAATAATTACTAAGCACAACCTGAGAAAGACACACAGCACACATTTCTTAATGCTAGTTCAAATACTAGAACTGCGAATGAGGCTAGTTCCTTCTAACACCACCATTGTACCACTGTTGGCTTGCAAAACAGCAAGAATAGAACTGACATTTTAAAATATACTCTATATACACAGTATATATATATATATTCTAGCAAAATATTATCCTAGATGTGAAAGACGTTTTGTCTTGTAGCCACAAAGTTAAAATATCACATTTTGGAATAATCCACGGTAGAATGGGAGGGGGAGAGAGAGGCTTGATGCTTTAAAATATCATCCAGTCAAAGCAATTTTTGCTCTAAATCCTCCTTCACAAAAGCAAAGCTGAGGGTTGAGAGATGGCAGGGGAGATTAATTTCCACCGTTTAAATATGCACATACCTCTTTCCTGATGCTTTTACTCCATGAAATATTTGCTGCCTTATAGCTCCTTCATGTGCAAAACCCTTTTCGGACTTTGGTTTATATCCTATCGAGACAAATATAGGAGTATTCTCCTGCAGGCCCCAAACTTAAAATGACTACCAGAAAAGGGAAAGCTGTTCTCTTTTTGTCCCTGCTTTGTTTACAGAGCTGTCAGTGGTTAGTTAAACTCTGCCTGGAATCTGGCATTTAAGGTCTGCTCCGAGATTGCTTCCTGTGCAGGGCTGGAGGCCCTCAACTTCCTCTGGAATTCTACCCTAGACTCTGCATTCAAATTGCTTCCCCCCCCCTTTCTTACAAAATTTCCAACTCTTTATTCCAAGTTCAGGCATTTATAGTCAAGAAAAAGGAGGAGGGGGAAACCTAGACTTTTTAAAAGAGACAAAAAAAATTCTGTGGGCTTAATTAATGCTCACTGTGTTTGTATACATATATACAGGATTCGGGCAATAGGAGGGAGGCAAGGTGAAAGAGGAGGGAGACCCATCCGGCTGTACCTTAATATTCAAATACAGTGCACAGAGACTGGAGACCTCTACTCGGGTCTTTACTGAATAACACATTGTCAGGAAGGAAACAAGCCCTATTCAGTTGTTAATAAAGCAGGTATACTTTCCACAGGGTAAAGACGGCCATTCTAACCCCAACCCCTCTGTTTTCAATTTTGTCAGGAAAAAAATGGAAACAGGAAAGGGCAGGGGCGACGCACTTCCCTGTGGTAAATACACCTGCTTTAAGAACGACTGAATAGGGCTGGACTCATATTTTCCATTATGCCACAGTAACAGCACTTAATACATTAGATAGCAGGAAGAAGGGGAAGAGGTCAACATCAATATTACTTTTTATTCTTTTATTAAAATGTTGTCCCAGTTTGTGGCACCAACAAGGTTATACTGATTAAGCAAGGAGGCTTTTCAAATGAACAATTGTTTACAGAGGGAAGCCCTCAGAACCATGTCTGAAGTCCCTCTTAGCTGGAAGCCACCGATATGGGCTCTCTCCATAAATCCCCCACAGAAAGCACTCAGCACAAGATTTGTCAGTCTCCCAGTTGAGTGCTGGCTTTAGAAGAACAAGCCTTGCTGAGGGGAAATCAGCATGGCTTCTGTAGGGGTATATCTTGCCTCATAAACCTTTTAGAATTCTTTGAAAAGATCAACAGGGATGTGGATAGGGTGAATCAGTGGACATTGTCTATCGGGAATTTCAGAAGGCATTTGACACAAGTCCCTCACCAAAGGCTACTGAGAAACCTCCACAGTCAGGGGATAAGAGGGCTGGTCCTTGTATGGACTGAGAATTGGTTAAGAAGCAGGAAACAGAGAGTAGGTGTCAATGGGCAATTTTCACAGTGGAGAGAGGTGAAGCGCAATGTGCCCCAGGGATTTGTCCTGAGACTGGTGCTTTTCAACCTGTTCATAAATGACCTGGAGATGGGGATAAGCAGTGAGGTGGCCAAGTTTGCAGATGACACAAAACTATTCCGAGTGGTGAAGACCAGAAGGAATTGTGAAGAGCTCCAGAAGGATCTCTCCAAACTGGGAGAATGGGCGGCAAAATGGCAAATGCGTTTCACTACAAATGTAAAGCAATGCACATTGGAGCAAAAAAAATCAAAACTTTATTTATCCACTGATCAGTTCTGAAATGTCAGGGACGGATCAGGAATGAGATCTTGGTGTGCTGGGTGTTTATGAAAGTGTCAATCCAGTGTCAGTGAAGAAGGCCAATTCCATGCTAGGTATAATTAAAAAGGGGGTTGAAAATAAAACAGCCAACAATATAATGCCATTGTCTAGCCTTTCAACCAGAGGTCACCTTAAAATAAGGTCTGTCCTCTATAAAAGAGGTTCCATGGCCACCCTAAAGTCATGTTAGGCATTATAGCTCCATGGTTTAGGTCTCTGGCTGTGGAGCCAGAGGTCGGCAGCTTAATTTCCCATGGTGCCTCCCTCACCGGGTGGCAAACCAATGCCGCTACTTGGTACTTCCTGTAAAGGAGGAAACCTCTTCAGCCTTTGTGACACTTAGCCACCGCTTTACATTTAGTTTATTTATTTTTAAAAAAAATTGTCCAGACTTTCACTTTAAAAAGTCTTCAACATGGTTTACAATAACTTTAAAAATAATAATAAAATATCCAGAATTCCATTATACCAAAATAAAACAGCATCACTGTTGGCACCTAAGTGACAATAAGGAAGATTTCTGAAGCCTTCTCTAAGGAGAGATTCCCAAAGTCAGGGTGTCACTCCAAAAAAGGCCTTCCACCAGAATCTCTGATGCATTATAAATGTTTTAGATATCCGCTTCCGCCTGCCCCAGCCAGCCCAGTCAGTGGTCAGAAATGCTACAATTGGTAATCCAAAACAACACCATTTCCAACTAATGTGGCTATTTACACATCACTAAAAAAGAGGGCATGCATCTTCAAGGAAGACAGTAAAATAAGACATTGATTTGTATAACACTGTGGCTGGAATCCTGTTTCATAAATTACATAGCATAAAGCTGAGCAATTTTATTTATTTATTTTTTTACACAGGGAAAGGCTGCAGCATACTAATAAGGAACCAGTCTCCAAGTATGGGGCCCTAGGTAGGCAAGACTATCCACATGCAAGACGAACAATAGGGAGAACATTCAGTTTTGCCAAAATTAAAAATAAATTGGCGGGAAATGTACATAGTCAGGCAAGAGCAGCAATCCAGGACAGATCCCTAATGAAGCAAACTCTGCCTGTTGAAGAAGGTGGCTAGCATTCTGGTTGTAATCCTATATAGGAGCATTCCATACTGCAACATTTCGTTACATATTGCTTTTCTAACAGCAGGAATATCTGAGCAAGACCTCACCCAGTTATTTTAATTGTCAAGCAGTTCCATAGAATTGTAGATCTGGCAGTCCAGACTCCTGCCAAAACAGGAAATACATCCAACCTTTATTTTAAAAAGTCCTATGAAGGAGAGTGTACCATGTGTGTGGGAAAATAGTCATTCAGAATGGTCAACCAAGGGTCTGAGAGAGAGAGAGAGAGAGAGAGAGAATGAATGAGAATGAGAATGAGAATGAGAATGAGAATGAATCATGATATACTACGTGGGATTTCATAAAGAAAGAACACAGCCAAATTGTGGTATGCCAGATTTGAAAGCTTGAGAAGTATTTGCTCTGAAGGAAATGCATAAGAAATGTAAACACAGCTTGTACAATTATTTTTAAAAAGTAACAAATTTCAATTTTAGTTTCAAGAGATCCAAAAAAATAGTTAACTGCAATTAGAGTGTTGAAATTTTAGAAGCCTTTACTGTCCATTCCTCAAATGTAACTATTCTTCAAAAGTACATTCCTTAAATGTTTCTTCAAGTTACATTATTTTTAAAATAAACTGACTTCATTCTACAAGCCATTGTGCAACAAAATATAGTATCTTCCTAGTGCCCTCCTCACCACCTCAACACTCACAACAGAACATGAGGCTGCAACACAAGCCAGCACTTGAACCATGTGATATTCCTCCTCTTACTTTTTTTTTACTTCTCCATAAAGAAAAAAACAACAAATCTGTTTTCTATCAGAATCTGTTCAGAAACATTTAACAGTTTATCTTAAGACTATACAGGAGAGTCACTGGCCCTTGTTCAAATTTCTCGTAAGCATGGGCAAAATGCAAGATAGTTTGTGATCCCACCATCACACACCTTGCATCTCTCCCCTTTATTGCTCCGGCCCAGGCCACACACGACTACTCAATTTATCACACTGCTGAATTTTGGTGGTATGACATTAGCACCAATGGTGTGTGTGTGTGAGTGCACCTCAAGGCAGGGCAATCCACACGCACCTCAGCCACAGACATTGCCCATCATCGTACAAACAGCTGGTTTACATCTGGTTTGCCCCAGCAAAATGTACCTTCTCTAAATGGTAGAAGTTGCTAGGGTTGAAGGAAAACTGGTTTTTAAAGGGATGGAGGAAAAATTCTTTATTTTTTTCAACCCCTTCAGAAGTCAACTTTTAATCCAAGCTTGCATTTGGGAAGGCAGTTTTAGTAGTAGTTCTGAGCCTGGACTTCAGGGCAGAGATCCAATCCCAAAATATAGGCTATGGGCAAAAGGCTACCAAAACACCACCCAGATATAATGGCAGCTATAGGGAT